GTATTGCAGAACCATTAAAATTGTGCCATATCTTTCATTAACATTTTGCCTCATTACTCATTAATTTGCCTCAATTTATGCTGATTTTTAATTAAAACATGTATTACAGTAATGTAAAACAAATAGGAATTACAAACAAACTCATTTTTTTCCCTGGGTAACTATGACTGAATGATATACTTCACCCAATTACTTCAAGTTACTGTTTTTTTTATGGTGAATATTGCTATAAAAGGCTTACCTTGCAACAACGACACAGGCATGAGCTGCTGTTGTTTTGCTGTTAAAAAACATCTGAACATCTGTAAATGCAATATTGCCATGTTATTAAACATTTGTCTGCAAGAACTGTCACCTGTTGTATTTATCCATAATTTAATATTCAGCTGACATTGCTAAAAGACATTATCAATGACAGTTTAACCTCTCTAGGCTTAAGGTTAAGTTTAACAACAAAACTTTGCCAAACCGTTACATAACAAGGCTCAGAGTATCTCTTGCTCCTTGTGTGTGAGCGGGGAGGGACACTGGTGGGGTGGGCGTTTCGTTCAGTCCAGAGTCAGATAAAGGTTAAAGTCAATTGTTTGTGAAAGACACACTGTCGCTTTCTCTTTTAATGGGATCTTCAGGTTGTTTCTGAGAAGCTGATGTTCATGTCTGCTAGTGCTATTCTGCTCACTTCCTGTAGAAGTTTTCACCGGTTTCAAAGAAGATCGTCTAATAATTGTCATTTACTCACCCTCATGTAATTCCAAACCTGTATGACTTTCTTTCTTTCTTCTGTGGAACACAAAAGGAGACATTTTGAAGAATATTCCAAAGCAGTTTTGAATATGAACGTGCATCATTTTGATTTTTAGTGAATAATGACTAATTTTGGTCTGGTTCATGCATGTTGGAATATAGATCACAATACTGGCTAATTTTCATGTGCAGTTTGTCCAATTTGCAGTTTGACAGTCCCTGGTTATTATATACTTTCACTGTATGGAAAACAGCAGCATTAATATTCCTTAAAATGTCTCTTTTTATTAACAGAGAATAAAGACAGTCATATAGGATCTCAAACATGAGGCTGAGTAAATGAAGTTTAATTTTCTTTGAGACTTGGATTACTAGAAAATGAAAACCCAACTGCGACCAAAGGGTTGTAACAAATGGGATTAAGAAAATTATGAAATGGAAATTATTCAAGCTGTTTAGAAAATGCAGAAAAGCATCATATTCTAATAAATGCAAATTGTAGGTGAGATTGCCTCTATCATGCTCCAAGGGTTATGCCTCGAAACTCTAAACGAGAGCGATAGAGAAGGATATACGGAGGAAGGAAGGGACGGAAAGAGCGAGTGAAGGAAGGAAGGAGGGGGAGGGAGGAAGGGAATGAGGGAAATTCATTAGGTGTGGTGAAGTGTACCATTCTCATCAAGGGCAGAGCTCATTTTAACTCCATAATGAGCCTGAGATTAGGGGCTAAGGGGGGTTGTGCTGGGTGACTGACTGCTGACTTCATCACTTGTGCCATGATGCTAAATATAAATGTACTGTTTTCAACCAAGGCAGTTGGGAGTCTCTTCTATTATGTAGTAAAAATAAAGATATAGCATAAGTGTCAGAAACACTTCACGGCTGCCGTTCTGACTATTGCCAATTATCGGGCCACTACAGTATGTCGTTTCAATAGTTATTTTTCATTCCTGTCCCCCTGAGGGATTGTAATTAAGGCACTACTTGTTATTTTAGTATTATATATATGCTATTATAGAATGTATTACTATTTTTATAATTTATCATTTTTATATTAAGTTTAATTTTGTTATGTGCTTTTGATAATTTATTCGTTTTAGTTTATTCATTATTATTATTATTATTATTATTATTGATTAAACTAAAACTATTCCAATTGTTTTGGTAAATAAAATAAAGATGAAATAAAATATAATATCAGTTTTAAATTAAAAAGGTAAGTTAAATGATAAATGTTGCCTTGGAAATAAGTATGTTCAGGCATTAAAATTACAAAAACTAAAACTGAAAAAGGAAAATGGTAACACTTTACTTGAAACCTTGTATAAACCTTGTATATCAAATGTACAATGCATTATATACCGGTAAGTATATATTATTATGTATTCGCAATAATATCTTTTCATAAAAAGTTAAAATGCATTATATTTGCAGATTCTTACAATCTGAAATGATCTGTTTGTTGTGTGTTTTAATGCATTATACTTTGTAAGAGTCTAACAATGAATAGTTAAGTATTATAATGCATTATAACTGTGATTACAATTATTCATAATATCATACAATCCATTATAAGGTGAATTACAAGGCATTATTAATGCATTAAATATTTTTTATAATAATTATATATAAAGGCTTCAAGAAAGTGTTCATTGTTATTTCAGTTTTAGTCATTTTAGTACTTAAACTTATTTCAGTTAGTTTCAAAGGCAACAATCCTAATTTTTAATTAAGTTTCTTTTTTTTAATCTATTATTTATATATTACTTCAGTTTTATTTTAATTACTGAATTTTTTTTCAAACAGTTTTAGTTTTAGTTTACAACAACAACACTGATTCAGACGACTGCATATGTGTGCAAATAATTAATCAGAAAAATTAATGTTACAGCAATAAATCCATTACAAACTGTACAATAGTAATTCTAGTAATTCCATTTACAGAGAGCAAGAGAGATTTGTTGCCTTGGCTCTGACCTGAATCTCCTTTCTACCCAGAATCCTTAGGGCCATGGTGTATGTGTGTGAGTCGGACAATGTGAAGAGACCTCTGATTCATGGCAAACACTTACACACACATGCCTTGTGCTCTCATAAGTGTACTTATGACACACACACACACACACACACACACACACACACAGATCTCCAGGATACAGAATGACACACTTATTTTCTGAGGACACTTTTGATGTGGGGGAGATGATGGATGTGTCAAGGGCAGCTTCATTTCTGCTGCTCTTCCGTGAGTCACAAACACTTACATGTGCACACTCATTTCAGGTCAAACCTGGACACAGAATAAAGGAACAGTGCTTAATATTTTGATTGAGTTTGGAGCATTAAAGAAATAATTCTCTCGTCGTCATAGAGATTTTGAAGTACATAAATAATATAGAGCTATATGTTGTGCACAGCATCTTACAGCACACATTTTAACCAAATCCATCTGATTCATTGACAATGAAAAAAAAAGAGATTGCACGCCATCTAGTGGTAATAAGCACGCAGCGCGACCTTAAATAGCTACATTACAGAATGTGGATGAAAGGGAAGCTTAAATAAAATAAAAAAATGCGATAAATTTAGTAATGAATCATTCATTCATATATGCAACTAAATACCTATTTACGACTGTTTAGTATTTGTTTGGAATAATTCCACACTTAAAATATAAAGTAGGTTATAAATATAGTATTTGCTAATTCTGTAAACAGTCAAAGATTATGTCAGATCCTTACCAATTTTCTTGAGCTCATGGGTATTGACACACAAAAAAATCACCTCATGACTCCACATTGATTCCATATTTAGATGTTGGCTGGTTGTGTTTGTGTTTTGCAAGCCAAATTGTCAAGACGTTGATATGTATTTTTGTTATTTCACAACAGTCACAATTTCTAACACACAATGGGCAAAAGATAAATATTTCCTCTAAATGAGACAGTAAAACTAAACTAAACATACAAGAACAACATTTAAGAACTGGGTAAAAGTGAAATTTCTGTTATGGTCACTCACCTTCACAGCACTCTAAACGCGAACGACAAGGTTGCGGTTTCTTGTAACTGCGGCTGTCAAGCTCCACAAAGTGTCCTATAAAAGTAGTCCGCTATATTTAACGTATTGTAAAGTCAAGCTTTATGTCAACATTTGTTGAGAACAGGCCGAAATATAAGCCTTTATTCGCAGAAAATATCAGTTTCATTCACTCAGCTTCTGTATATTTAAAACTAGCGCGTCACGAGGTGCTCCAGAACAAATGAAGTTTGCGCGCAGTTTCTTCTGCTCCGCCTACTTCTCCTAATATGGCATCGAGAGGGCCGAGCTTCCGGCTGTATGCAAAGTTTGCAAACAAAACGCCATCACACTAGAAAATGGTAGACATCTGATATAATTTAGCATATTATATAGGGGTTAGGGAGCTGTTTTGGTCGCAGAAAGTTTGATTTGGATGATAAAAATAAGCTTTCTGAATCTTTGAATCAATTTCTTCATAAAATGGTTCATTAAAGAGTCTCGAATCACATGCAGTTCTACAATAGCATAATATTTTAGAAAATACGAAAATATTGGCAAATCCACAGATTTTATCTAGAATTTCTGATAACGGATTTTTAAAGATTATATATTTAGATATTAGTTTATGTGCCAAAATAACCTTCAGTAAATGCCCGTTCAAGACACACACACACACACACACACACACACACACACACACAAGCTAGATCTTTTTTGGAATGACAATATAATGAGATATTAGTTAGACATGTTGGCATGCATTGTTTATATTTATTTAATTTTCAACCACTTTCCCATGGGCATATCTGAGACACTCTGCAAAGGTCAAGTCCAGCTTGGATTAATCGAGCTTCCATCAGGCAACAGGTATTTTAGGAAAACATCTGACTAAATAACTAACAAATGTGTAGCTGAAATTAACAGCAGCTGGAATTTGCTGCAACAATATCAGATTTGTATCACAATACACACCAGTTCCCCCGTGTTGCATGCCTCCAAGCTCAGGTTTTGAAAACTTGCCAATGCCCCGAAAGTTGACTACTTATTGTGACTATTTTTTTTTTTAATGAGACACTATTTTTTTTTTAATGAGACCGTAAACTACATGATGTGATAACTTCACCTGTCACCAAACACAATATGAGAGTTAACAACATTCACAGATAGACTACATGTGTCCTCCAAATGCTGCCAAAAACACATCAAAGAAATATACAAATAATCCACCCACGACCACCCTGAAATTATAGAGGAAATATTTATTTAGACAACCAAATGCATGCCAGAAACACCAATTTTACATAACTGACAGCTCCCTTCTCCTCCCTTGTTGCACCAGCCATCTCCAAACCAACTCCATCTGGGTCAGGGAGTGGACGGGAGCGCCATCTGGTGAAGATACCTCGGTATTGCATTGAAATGACAATTTTGCCGAACAGTGGGGGGAAACCTGTATGTGTAAAAACACTATAGACCTATAATACATAAAAAGGGACAGGGTATGTCTAGATGCAAATGGCAAAAATATTCACATCTCGTACATCTTGCATGGCACAAAAATTACCTCTAGCATGACACAAGGACAATAAAAAATAACGATGCGCAAAGGCAGAATTCACATGCAGTGTGTTCTCCACGGCATCTAATCTGTCCTAACCCACACATTTTTTTAGGGAGATTCACAGCTAATCATTGGAGATGATTTAATATTTCTCGTTAGTTTTGCACGATGAAGTTAAAACAAGACCTAAAGATAAGCTATAAGACAGAAAAAAGAAAGAACGACCGAAATTTAGAAAGTAAGCATGTAAAACTGAATTAAAAGTATACAGATCTGCAAACACTCAACAAGAATCTGAGCCTAAAACAAATAATTGGTCCGCCTATGTGAATCATGGCCCATCAGCCACATTTACAACTGAATAGAAAAAATAATATCAAAAATAAATGCAACCCTTTGAACAATAAACAATAACCAGCAATAAATAATCAAGTGGTGTTCTGCTGTATATATATGTACATATACTAGAGTCACTCAGCATTCAGCCTAACATAGACTGATTTAGCAAATCAAAGACGCGAACTTATGAAATATGAGTAATAATAATTTAGAAATACACTACAGACATTATGGAAATATCTAAAAACATCTTTCAAAAGACGTTCTATCATTTTTACGCAACCGACATTTAAAACGATCATCTAGAGGGCTGTAATCGGCAGATAGTTCGACTATGCAACTGGCTTGGAAGAGCTTATTCATTCAACTCATGCACGTTGTATTTGAAACCTAAATTTTGGCAGAAATGGTCACCAAAGTTATTGACTGTTTTTAGTCAGTCAGGCCCACTTGATTATCTGAAACATAATTAACACGAACATCAAAACGCTTCTGAGGATCAGAGGTTAGACAAGCTGTTACTAAGGCATGCCTTAATTTCACCTTTGACCAATTGTGTCCATAATTACTTACTGTTGTTCTATGTACAGTACAATACTTGCTTATATATTACAGTCTTTACAAATCTAAGCAAGTGGCTTCCAGTTTTCCAGGTGCCCAATTCACTCCACCATGTCTTTTTTTTCATATGTTGTCATTTCGACAAAAGAGTTCTTCTTCTTTTTCCATTGGCACTACCCCATCGTATCGCGAAGGATTTTTGGCAAATGACCGCCACGCATCCTCTGATGAAAACATCACGTGTATGACATCGGATCTGTAACACTAGGAGTGTAAAAGGTCTTTGCTGTCACATCACAACGACAAAGTCAATGTGCTTTCCCTGGTGAACAAGAGACGTGAGCAGGATTCACCGTTTTTGAGTTTTGTGCTATCGATTATGCACGCTTGTCTGTTGTATGAGTGACTGATGCAGATGTTTACAAGTGTCTGTTGAGTGTGCGTGAGTGTATCTCACACGCTGCGCGGTGGTCTCTGCTGTTCGTGGGTCCTGCGGTTGCGCCCCCTCTTGTTCTCCTGAAGCTGTTTCCACTTGGCTGTGTTAGGAGGTCCTCTTTGTGGGGTCTGGGTACCTCTTTTTCCCTGGTTAGATTGTGCTCTTTGGTTCTCAGGAGCACTTTGGATCTTCTGCGTGCTTTGAGTGTCTGGTTTGATGCTTTGGCTCTCCGTGCTCACTGTACTTCCCGGGATTTGACTTTTTTGCAAACCTGTGGACTTTGGGAGAATCTGAGCAGTTGGGTTGTTCGGCACTTTTGGTGTGTTTTGCACCCTCTGCGTTGGGTTCTGCAAACTCTGAGCCGTCCTTTGAGGGGTCTTATCTGTTTTTGTCCCGACGCCAGCTATGGGGTTGACTTTGGGGGTTTTCTTTCCCTTTGGCTTCTTCTCTCGCTTCCAAACGCGCTCGCAAAACTCATCCACACTGTTGAGGTCTGGGTGCTCCAGCAGGCTCATGAAATCCTGGTACCAGAGTTTGTGTTTAGGGGAAGGATCCTTATCGTTGGCGCCTGCTCGGAGCAGCAGCTCGCCCACGCGCTGAGATGGGATGACCTGAAGATTAATATGCCACAGGGGCTGGATGAAGCCGTGCTCGACGGCGTGGCAGTGGTACACTCCCGAATCGGCCTGGGTAAGACTTCGGATCAGCAGACCCTGGCCTGTAAGACTCAGCCTTTCATCAATCACAATCTGACATGGAGAAAAACAGATTGAGTTTATTAACACTTTTTCATAGATTTTGACCTCAAAAATGGTCCCAGACCAGAACGTAACTGCTGATGTTACATCTGGGGTGCAAGGAAAACTACAGCACAGTTGGGGGATTTTCTTACACAGCGGGAAGGCTGAAACCTGACCATTATTACATTAACATAATGACCGTCTAGGGTGAGGTGTTACTTTAGCACTATTTTTTGCCTGATCATATCTGAAAAAAAAAAAAACACAGCTGGTGTATGTGATGGTGGGTGGTAAGGGGGTCATTATGTCATATCCTGTTCAATAAAATACTTTAAAATACCCTAATTTAGTAGTAATAACATTCCCCTTCTTTTTTGTAAAAAAGCAACATTTTACTTAGTGCTGATTACAATAAAGCTGAAGTCTGTCATATTTTTTTGCTATTAAAAATGTATCTATTTAACTATAACTATTATAATATCTCAGTGTATCTATAAAAATAAACATTAAAATATTTTTATGATTTTTGTTTAAAATTCAATTTTGTGTATAATACATTTATTTTAATTTATAAATAATTTTGATCATTTTTTTCAGGATTGTAAAGAAACTGTTTATTTGAAAAATATATTTTTTTAATTTAAAAAATCATTAACTTTTGATCAATTTAATGCATCCTTGTTGAATGAAAGTATTAATAAAAAAAAAATTAAAAAAAAGTACTGACCCCAACTTTTAAACAGACACTTTTTAAACATCACGGCCAATCTGACACTGCAATACTGATATAACTAATAGTGTGAGTTTAGGGTGGTGCTACTGTATCTGTTTGGCCAACCAATGGCAGACTGATGCGATTCCATGTGTGTTTGGCAAAGCTTATGACACAGAAATGACATTTGTAATATGAAAAATGTTCTTTCTGCATTCATAAAAAATGACTGCTACTTTGGACAGATTAAACAGAATAGCAGTAATCTTTAAATTAATTCAAAACAGTGTTAGACTGTTAAAACCGTTAAGACTGACAACTGATCTAATGTGTGAAGAATCTGGTAACTGGCCACGGCAAGAGAACTGAGAAAATGGTTCAAATACATTTAGTCATTTATATTCTTTGCAGTCCTGCATGGATTTTGATCACAATGACAGCATGTCATTTAAGTGCATGTTTTGCTGACCTATGTTATTTATAAGTTTGTGTGTGTGTGTGTGTGTGTGTGTGTGTGTGTGTGTGTGTGTTTGGCAAAGCTTATGACACAGAAATGACATTTGTAATATGAAAAATGTTCTTTCTGCATTCATAAAAAATGACTGCTACTTTGGACAGATTAAACAGAATAGCAGTAATCTTTAAATTAATTCAAAACAGTGTTAGACTGTTAAAACCGTTAAGACTGCCAACTGATCTAATGCGTGAAGAATCTGGAAACTAACCACAGCAAGAGAACTGAGAAAAACGGTTCAAATATATTTAGTCATTTATATTCTTTGCAATGGATTTTGATCACCATGATCATGTCATTTAAGTGCATGTCTTGTTGACCTATGTTATTTGTTGAGTTTGTGTGTGTGTACCTCATGTTTACGCTCATCATTGGGTCTCTGTAGCTGCCAGTAGATTAGAGCTCTCTGAGACTTCGGGCTGCACTCCAGAAACATGCTGCTGTTCTCTACGCCATACACACTTCTCTCCTCCACACTGCTGTATCCTTCCAGATCATCTAACACACACACACAAACACACACAAGGAGGTAATGTTCAGTACTGAAATAGAACGGTGTATCAGCCTACACAAGTGAAAGATTATAATGCATCAGTCCTTTTCAAATGTTCAGGCATGCTGATTTAATTCTAATGTGTTATTGATTGTCTGTATTAACATTTAGTTACTTTTGAGGTGCAAATTTTAGTAGACCACAATTGCACAATATTCAAAACATCATATTACAGAAGAGATGTAATGAATGGTCCATGCTGTATTATAGAAGATCAAAGAAGATCTTTTTTCATGCATTGTTTTTCTTGAAATGAGGTGACTTGCAACAACTGTGCATGTCCTCATGTTGGTTTAGGCAACTAATTCATTATGTCTGATCAGAAATAAATAAATATCCTTACCATTGTGGTGCAGATCAGAGCACTGGGAAAGAGGATCCCCATTTCTGATGTCCTGACGCCTCGTTCTCCTGTTAAATAAAAAAGATTGGATTAGACACATGTAATGTAGATCTTTGCATCTTCTAAAACATTAAAATTGACCCTAGTATTTAGTTTAGTATTTGCAACACTACTTCTCTCAAGCCACTAGAGGGCACTGTTGTTTCAATCAAACAACTACATTGTACCATATTGTCATACAGATTTAAGGATGATGTGAGATTTATATGGTAAAATACTTTAGCTTTATACAACAATAATTAAACCTCTGCGGCACTTTCAACTTTGCCCAACACAGCAACACTGACTCATCCAATGCGGAGAAACTGTTTGTCCACATAAAGCCAGAAAGGGAAATAATTCCATGTGGTTCTGTGGTTCACATCAGTTTAAGGTGTATGCAGGAAAGAATGTCCTTAATGTGTTGGTGCCCTAGTTTTAATTCAGAAACATGATTCATGGAGAGATCTTTCATGATGTTCATTATTGAATTCCAAACCTCACAACCTTCAAATATCTTGTAATAACAGCTCTGCAAGTCATTCTCAGCTAAAAGGGTCTTTCAGTCTCCATCAGAAGAGTTTTGTTCCATTTTAAGAGAGCAGCTTCACCTCTTAAATGCTAACATGGGCCAGGGACTTTGCCAAGGCCGGCACTCTTATCCATTCACAAATGCACTGAAAGACTGAGAAGATTTCCTGTGCCTGACTGAAAGCATTCAGGATCTGGTGTAAAGAATGAGGTTTAGCTGCAGTAGATCTTTAGGGAACGATAAGTGAAATATGAAAACTTGCTGAGATTCTCGTGATTGAAACACCCTCTTTGTCATTTTTCATGATCTGTCATTTTCTTTTCCTGTTCTGTTCTTGTATTTCAGTGCATAGCTCTCTGTGTCTTCTCATTTCTCTAACATGTTTTGCTAAGGCGTGCACACACACACATTCCTCGACTCCGGCTGTCTCGGCACGTGCAGGAGGTGCGGTAAGGACGTCTGTTTTGCATTTTAGGAACACTGAAAATATTTGGAGTGGTGTGGACCATACTAGTGTGTGGACCATAAGGGTGTGTCAAGACCAAAGCCATGGCCCTCTTCTTCCTCTGTGAAGGCGTAGCTGGCAAAGCATGCAGAGTGTGTGTGTGCGTGTGTTAACAGTGGGTACGTGGCATGTTGTGAGCATGTGTTTATAGCGCGTTTAAAAGCAGCCTGAAATACTTGGATCCAGGTGTTTGTGCTTGTCGACGCATGTGTGTTGAGATGCAGAATTTGTAGTGCACTAAACACCTGAACAGTGAATATGGTGCCATAATTTGTGTTAATATGTAACTGACTTAAAGGGATAGTTCACCCAAAATAGTTTCGTCGTTTACTCTCCTAAATATTTTGAAAAATGCTTTTTTGTCCATACAATGGAAGTCAATGGGGTCCAAAATAACTCCACTGGATAAAAACGGTTATTTAAATATTTTCTTTCATGTTTCACAGAAGAAAAGAAAGCCATATAGGTTTGGAACAACATGAGGCTGAGTAAATAATGCCAGAACTTTTATTTGTGGGTGAACTGTCCCTTTAAGAATATGTAATTTGATCCATATTACAAAATAAAGTTACCACAATGTTGAAGAATAAAATAATCCTCATCAAATATGTACTTACCTCTTAGCAGTCGGAAAATATCGAGAGCACTCTGTCCCGTCCCAGGCACAATACGGATCTCTTGCCAGGCAGCACTCGGCACAGGCCTTCCCGTAGACCTCACAGCGGTGCAGGGGCATCTGGGAAATCCCTAAATCTGACCCGAGGTACAGCTGTTGCTGTTGACAGATGAACATATAAGTCAATTAGGACATGGTTTGCTCTCTGCTAATGGCTGGTGAAGAGTAATATCAAGCAGACGTACTTGTTTAGTGGAGAGCTCCATGGCAGTAATAGGTGTTGGCTCCTAGAAGGGAAAACGGAACAAGTTTAATCTCATTTTAAGATCCGAGGATATTTTTTTGATGACATACTGTGGCCGTGCAGACAGATTTATGGGGGAGCAATTAAATGTACTAAGGTGAAAATTATAGTTGGAGGATTTCGATTCCAATAGCAAGCAGAAACGCACAGCTCTCTGGGTAATGAACAGTTGGCACTCATACCCTGAACACCGTCATCTCTTCCAGCACCACTTCCTCCAGATCATGCCAGCTTTCCCTGGGAATGGTCACCACCTTCAGCACAGTTCCTAAATCTGATTTAAGATTAGAATTGTTTTAATATTCATAATTTGTACAATATTTCTTAGTAATTGTAACAGTAATTTTTTTTCTCATGCGCCAATAAAATAAATTAGTAAATAATATGAGTTGAAATGACATGAAAGTGGATAAAAAAATGACGGTTTTTAATTTTTGTGTGAAACTCTTCAAAAAAAATTCTAAAAGGGGGTTTTTGAACCATTTTTGGTTTCCAAGGAATCGTTCTGTAAACATTTCTTTCTTTTTCTTTGTGTGAAGAACAACTACAAAAAAATATATATATTTTTTTTCATTGATGAACCAGAATTCCCACAGAAAACTGGATATATGTGGAAATTTTAAAACTGTGATTTCTAGAACTAGAAAACTCAAGTAAAAAATCCATATCCTTATCCTGTAAATCACAAGCAACTGGAAAAGTCATAGAGCCTTCGAACATTGTTGTGGAGAATAAGTCAAAAAGGTTGTGAACAGCTGCTTTAAGAAGTGTAAAAGTGGAGTGATTTCTTGGCTTTCTACAGCAGTTATATTTCTGTATTGACGTGCTGGTTGGTTTTACTAACCTGTGCCGATGAACATGACATCGTACTGGCCGTCCTCAGCTTCCACACGATCCACCACCAGCTGAGTGAACTGGTACTCCACGTTCGTGCGCACCACAATGGGCTTCCCACCCATGGGCTGCACAGGGTTATGCATGGCTGGGTGCAGGCGTGCGAATGTAATTACATCATCAGGAAGGTCTTTAGTGGAGTCAAAGCCTCCGAACGTTTTGCTGGGACACTATGGTGGGTAAAGGAGGGGAGATTAAGGGTTAAAAAAAATCTCATTGATGCACAAGTTCAAGTTTCAATGTCGCACTCTGAATAATGTAGTGTGGTTTTAGTTATTTTAGTATGGGAGGATGTTTTTTAGACAAATTTAGTTTTAAAGGTGCAAGCAAACAGTTAGGGTAATAAAGAACAGCATATTACCTGTTGGAAAAATAATGCAGTTATTTTAAGTATAAGTATAATTATTTTAACAAAAGTGCACATATATGAAGCTGTAGTTTGTCAGTTTTGTGATAATGCCAGATATATTGGCCAGTACTCACTGTGCCAGGACGGGGGTATGGCACTCTGCCCTGAAAGGGAACCCACTGGTAGTTTGGCCCATCCCTGTGGGCATATGGACCTAGAAATACCCTTCGGATGTCTGCCATACTATACATGCATATAGCCGATCCACGGAAGATATTACTGAGGAAAGAAGAAGGGAGAACGGAGGCTAAATCATTGATAGAACACAAAATATTATGATATTTTGTGTACATTTTTTCTAGAAGTGTATATATCAAAAGTAAATGATCCATTTCAATTATTTTAATTTAACAAGAATTTTGGGCAGGACAAATGTGTGGATTATTTTGGATCAGGATTTGACAAAATAGATTGAAAAGTCTTTATGAAAATAAATGAAAAATAAGAGGGCTTGGCAACGTCATCAGAGTTTTTACATTTGGATGAAAGATCATGAAGACAAATTTAATATATGCACAAATGAATCACACACAATAAGAGCAGAAACGTGCGTTAAGAAAGTTAATAGGGTTGATTTTGATTTCATGTGCTGTATAAAATTAGCATTTGTATTGCTGTGTATATGTGTGTATCCAAGCACTTATTCCCTCTAAACTGCCATGAGAACAAACACACTGTGGTGATCAGCCCATTGCATTTGTAAAATGTTAATTAGCGAGAAAATCAATTAACCACAGGGCACATGAATAAACTAATTCCCCATCACTCAGTCAGGGTCCCAGACATAAAAATGCACACACACATACATGTGCTTACACACTCCAACACACATACCCAGATAAAGCACGAGATAAAATACTGATCCATCACCCCAGTGTTCAGGCCTCATTAAGTGGCAATATTAAAAGCAAGTCCCTAGAATGCACTTCTATTCATCTCAGAAACAGGGCACTTAGAAAACCAATTAAAGCAGTCTAATTCTTTAAAGCCCGTAATTGAATTTTCGAGTGTTGTGTTCCTTGCATACATTAGGAAATCAGTGAGGTAGGAACACATGAACAGGATGTGCGGGTTTGGACGACCGCCGCTTTCGCCTCTCGCTTTTTGACAGTGATTAATCATGATATGTTTGTCCTCTTCCTCATCTCGTGTTTACATGCATGCACACCTCCGTACACACACACAGTGTGCTCATCCTTCATCTTAAAAGTCTTTTCTTCTTTTGAACATCGTTTATCTGCTTTTGTTACTGCCTTCACCCCTCCCCAACCCTCTGCTCCTCGCCAGCAGGCCCAGAGAAGAGGGTGTCTGGCTGGGGAGTGAGATTCAGGTTACCACCTTAATCATATTTCCTCCGAGCTGTGCTGAGCCGAAGCTGAATGGGGAAACAGGTAAGAGAGGGCAGAGACTAGGATAAGGAGGAAATTCCCATCCAGAGTGCAGCGATGGGAAGCGCCTGTCTGAGTCTAACCAGATTACTGCACTGCAAAGCTTCTAAAGGGCCAAACATATCACACATCACAAAATCACTGCCATCTCATAAAAGAGAAGAGAAAGAAGGAAGAAAGGATAGGAAAAAGGAAGAAAAGAAGGAAAAAAGGAAAAAAGAACGAAGGCATAAAAAAGGAAAGGTAAGGAAAAGAATATAGAAATTAAGGAAGGAAGGAAGGAAGGCAGGATAAAAAGAATATGGGAAAGGAAAGGAATAGTATGGAAAAACTAAAAAATAAGGAAGGATATAGGAAGAAAATAAAGAAGAACAGTAAAAAAAGCAAAGAAAGGAAAGGAAAAGAAAATGAAAGAAAAGGAAGGCAAAGGAAGGCAAGGCAAGGCAAGGGAAGGGAAGGGAAGGGAAGGGAAGGGAAGGGAAGGGAAGGAAAGGAAA